GTCCCTGGTTTTAAGCTCAGCTAGCGCCACTCGACTCTAGGCCGCCTGCGGGGACAGGGAGGCGGCCCCACCTCCGTCCCTGCCCTCCTCCCCCTCCCCCCCAGTTCCCAGCTTGGGGGAAGCCAAGGGATACCAACTTAAGGCACAAGCCTGTCAATGTCCTGGACAGAGTCTGCCACTCCAGTCGCCGTGGGCCCCAGGAAAGGGATCTAGAATCATCCTCCGAAAAGGCCTTCACCTAGATTTTACAGACAGGGAAACTGAGGCGCAGAAAAAAAGAAAGTTTCTTGTTTCTAGACCCTCTGGAATCCAGAATAGGAACTCCAGAGTTTCCCAGTCCTGAGCTTCATCTGCTCCACTTGGCCTCAGAGCTGAAAAATGAGAGTATGCTGCTGGAGGCAGGATAGGCCCCTAATGTTTTTCCCTAAGCACCTCCAGCCCTTAGTTTTCAGGCACCATCGGGAATGCAGTAGTTCTTGCACCCGGTAGAGAACCTGCCAACTCTGACCCAAGTCCTATGCACTACCACCCAGGCGGCTACCAGCCCATGAAGAAATCGGGGAAGGGGTTGGGGGGAGGGTTGGCAAGTAGGGGGAGGCAGGCTCCAAGCCCATATCAGCATTTACCAGTTTGTTCTGGGCTCCAGGGCCTGAGAGCCACTCTTCTTGTCTCCTGGGTGCCTGATCCAGTCCAAAGGCTGGCCAGGCTAACGCAGAGTCAGCCTCCTCTCCGTGGGGCTGGAACTGAGGGTTGAGAACTCGGCTACACTGGGCCACTCCAGGCAGGTCATCATCGCTTGAGAATGTTCAATTCTCAGCACTAGAGCTCACACTGCGAGAAGTCAGCGTTTGGCAGTAAACACATATGGAGAAGACCACGACCTCCACACTATTCGAGAGGCTCACCCAGCGGGAGAAACCCAGCGCCCTGCATCTCACACCCACTGGCACAGAGACGTGGTCTTGGCCGCTCAGACCTCAGCAGTTGCCCCTCCCGGCTAGTGCTCAGCCACGCGGGTCCGAATTCTGTCTGCAGGGGCCTTCCCAGGGCTGGCGTTGAGACGTGGAAATCCCAGGGTGGGGTTCTCCGTCTCACCTCCTGATGGGTAGCTTCGCAGCTGATGTCCTAATACTTGGTTCCCTCCATCATCACCAACTTTTCCCAGCCAAGCCCCTTTCCTGGGTAGCGTGAAGGTATGCAGTTCTCTCAAAAGCAATGTGGAGGTTAGTGTGAAAGAAGGAGACAAATACATGCTCTTTCTAGAGGGCAAATTCATTCCTTTACCCATTTCTTCAACAAGTATTTATTGACCCCTGCTATGAGCAAAGGGAGAAAGGTCAATTCACTCATTGTACAGATGGTAAAGGTGAGGCCGAGAGAAGATGGACGATTTTCCTTGGGGTCGGATAGCGAGTGGATACACGGTATTCCTCTCCCGTACAAGGGAATAAATGGATATAGGGTGGGGACACTACAGGGGAGAAGTGGACAAACCCTTAGTGCAGAGCCGGTTCTACTTGTGGGAGCCCGGTAGGGCTGTGGGCCCTAGAGGTGCGTTGGGGGAGGGAGGACCTTGCTTCCTGCCTGAGGCGGCTGGAAACCCGCCGCTCTCCCGGGCGCCTGGCGCCAACAGCGCTGGGGTTGGGCCGAGCGCGGAGCCGGAGGCTCGCGGGGAGGGCGCTCCCGGCGCCCGATTCAACCGCGGCTCCGCGGGGCTCCGCTCCTCCCCGACCTGGAGGAGCTCTGGAGTGCGGGTGTGCGGGTTGAGACAGTAATTACTCTGTGGAGAAGGACCTCAATCCTTGACACATACCCAGCCGTGGTCCTAGTCGGACACAGTCTTCATCGCAGATCCTCAGGCTCACCATTACGCGTCCACATACATAGGCACACGGTCTCACAAAAAATCACCAGCATTACACAAAAATCCATCTATTCATACAGGCGCCAATAAGTATGTGCGTTCTCCTGGTAACACATTTACACCCACAGGACACACGGGATTTCAATATTCATGCATTCCTAGGATTTTACGCATTATCTGTCACCCATAGGGCACACATCTCGCTTTAGATATGTTACAGCTCTGAGCCACTCCCAATCCTACATTCAGGCATGCATAAAGATACCATCATACAGCAAAGGCACATCAATTCTACATACACGTCACAGCTGCAGGGCTTGACACATACTCTTACTG